GGCGGGTGGCGGTTAACGACGGCGATCAGCGGTGCCGCGAGACGCGTCCTCCTCGTCGTCCTCGTCGCGAGGATGTCGCCGTCGTCGATCGCGACAGGAGCCCGCCGTTCTTTGTCATATGTTCCGCGACGGCCATCTTTCCCGTCGGGATCCCCTACCTCGCGGACTATCCTCCTGTCCCCTCCACCCTCTCATCGTCTCGACCTCGCAGGAACGGTGCGAGATTACTCATCGCCCCGAATAATTGCTTTTTCAGAGAACTAACTGTGGATGCTTGCCAGCAAGGGACACAGACGACACAGTGTGACACTGTGAATTTTACATTACATTCTCGTTATTTCTCAATGTTAAACGAAGATGAAATGATCATTGTGTTACGCTGCGTCTTGCTGGAAAACGTCTGCTATTATTTTTATAAATAAAGTTATACCGTGTATTTCAAGATTAATTACGTTTACATAGAATATTTACGTATTGTTTACGTTAAGTTTACACAAATCTTTTTTATATAAACGATACAAGCAGTATGTGTAAATTATTATGTAAATTGAATAATACAATATAGAAAGAAGTAATTGAATTTTATAATAACTATTAATATATTTAACTTTAATTTTTTAATGATAAATAAAAATACTTAAGTTAGAAGTTTAATACCTGATACAGCATAGACCTCCAAGGGATCAAAGATATTGTTATGTTTTCTGAACATCCTAAGAACGTTCCCAGGATATCTGTCGAATAAAGTTTATATGCTGTATAGATACTGTGTATAGTTGCTGTGCAAACAATAAAGAGCAATAGGTTTCAATGATCCATTGCTTTATATAGATACGTAAAAGATAGTTTACATTGTACGTAGAGATGTAAATTATTATTTTTTATGTGTAAAGTCAATCCTATTTCAATATCTTTTGACAAATTTCAGTTCTGTTCATGTACTTCATTCGTAATCGAGCATTTGTTTTGACCTGTAGTCTGTAGTGTTTTATATTTAAATACATGATACAGTGTAAGAAAAAAAAGTTTGCAGTTATCATAATTTATAGTAGTGGAAGAAGACTCATTTTGTTTCCTAAGCACTAAAATGCTGCATTTTGTAATTTAATTTTATACTAAAAATGACTCAAAACGGAGCCAAAAATATTTGTATTTTAATACTACATGTTTATTTCCAAGCAGAACCACAAGTCATTATAATATCAAAATGATGTCAAAATGATCCCAAAATAATCATTAAAAGTCATTTTTCAATCATTTTCGATTTATTTTAATCTCATTTTAACATTATCGTGACTGTTCTGCTTAGGTTGTTGAATTTTAATTAAAGACAATTTTAAATTGAAGAATTAAATGAACACGATTAACTGCGTTAAACTCATATAGCCCATTTATCAATATTTGAATTTTATAATTTGACTATAATTTACAATTACTTTCAGTGCCAACTGTATGTATATTTTTTAACAGAATTATAAATATAATTATTATCACTAACATTATAGCAGTAATAACCATAAAAATAGATCTCCTAACCATAATTATTTTATCATGCAATGTAAGTCACAAATACCAAAAATTGTTCTCTTAGTGTAATGGAAAACAATTATGGTATGTAATAATAAACAATGATAATTTGATAAACAATTGTATGTTATTGTGATAATATGTCTCCGGTTTGTCCAAATACTATTATATGTAGATGTTTCCGTTCGTGCGCGCGATTTGCATCCACTATGAAATTTTCGTGGATACATCACTGTGCATTTTAATTGCCACGCGCACTAGCGACATCTGTGAAAGAAATTTCGAAAGACCTGCCATTCCTATTGTAGCAACGAACACGAGGTGCTCACTAAGTCCCTGTGGCGCAGAGGATAGCGCGTTGGACTTCTAATCCAAAGGTCGTGGGTTCGATCCCCACCAGGGATGGGACGCGAGCGGGATTTAAAAACCGTTTGTAGTTATTTTTTTTACACGTGTCCTTTACGTTATCATCCGAATTGTGAAAACAATTGAAAGTCAAATGGCGAAAACGTTCGATTGTCAAGCCTATTATTATTGTTTCAGTATGTTTTTCTTAAGTTTTGTAACTCATGTTCACATAGATAACAAATATTATCGTTGTGATAACGATATAACATTCGGAAAACAATTGAATAATCCACAACAGTAAGCTAACACATATTTTGTAAAAATGACTTAAAGTTATAAAAAAATAAATAAATGTTATGACCCAATAGGGGTCGAAACGTTTGTTAATAAACTTATGTTTTTGTAATTAATCTAGCATTAAGATCCAGCTTGGCTCGTAACCCTTGTTTTAGTTTTAATTTTATAAATTAATGTATTCTCTATTTTTACAAAATATTCCAAGCAGAACAACAAGTCACGATAATGTCAAAATGACATATTAAAATGAAATTATTGAAAAATGCCTTTTAATGATCATTTTGACATCATAATGACTTGTTGTTTTGCTTAGGTATCAATTAGTCCACTATTGTAATATTAAAAAATTTCTTAAGACCATAATATGTCATTACATAAAAAGTAAATAACTATTGCAGTAAGCTCTTCAATTGTTTTTTTGAATGCCATATTTATCAGAGCGATAATATTATATAATATATTATCTATTTAGGAAAAAATGTTATATACGTACGTATTTTATATATAATTATATATAATTGTATATAAAATATGTCAATTTTTTATATAATTATATATAATTTTATATGAAACATTTTTTTCCAGGTATAAACAAGAGTAATACTGATTGGATAATTAATAGATGCTTAAAATATTATCTACTGTAAGCACAGTAAACCTTTCAATTGCATAATTAAAATTCTTTATTCTTCATTCATTCTTCCAGTACGCTGGTTTTTAACGTTTTGAACTTTGTGACGTCATGTGAGTGTGCCTCTGAAACGATCATGTCGTGTAAATAAAGAGTGAAAGGCTAAAAATCTATAAGTCTATTATAAACAGAAGATACTTTTTTTACTATAATGTTTTAATAAGAGTTGACTATCGTCGTGAGAGAGATTTACGTCACAGACGTTATCTTATGAAAGAATTAGGTTCGATTTTAGCTTTATCAGAAGGGAGACAAGCGCATACTGTTTGTGTTCGACATCTATAAATATTATACTCACACGATTAGTCTTTGGATTAAAATACATATCCGCATATTATAGGCCGAGATAATGAAAAGGAATCTTCATTCAGATTATTTATTAACAATGATCACAGTACGGCTCACAATCAGATATGCATGCGAGAGAATGGTTTCCGCAAACTGTCGACTTCGCTTATCTATCTGCCGGCAAAGTAGACGATTCTATCCCAAACTAGTGATATACAGAAAAACACAAGCAGTAAGTTAACCGACCAATCACAGTAGAGAATGTAAGGCAATAACGTAAGCAGTAGCTAATAAAAAAAAGTTGATTTATTTACTGCTTATGTTTTTCTATGTGTCACTATACGTAGCCCAAACATCTATTAGCTTATCAGCAAGTGTTGTCTTCTTCCTCAAAAAAAAAAAACACAAATACAAAAACACTGATATTTATTAGTTCATTAGAATTATAAGTATATTCCATCAGATTATACTTACGCGGAATGTAATATTTACAGTTTTGATGAAGCATTTTAAATTTAACTAGATACAAATCCGAAAATATAATTTTATTGGATCAAAATAATTAATTAATTATGTGATATTTAAACTGGTTGCTAAAATACCAAAATATTTTGTAGCATTGCTTATCATGCTTAAGTTACATAAACATTTGGATGGTCGGACAAAATTGTTTACAGATCTCTACCTACCTCTAGTTAAATTTTTTTTAGATATTTCATATTAAAATCATTCTTTCCATGCAAAAAAAATTTGTTTACTATATTAAACATATTTCAAATTAAACACCAATGCGTTTGCTTTCTGAGAATGTCACGTGTAAAATATTTTGATGATTTTATTGAAGAAGAAATACAGGAAAGACATTATTCTCAAGGAATACGAGGACGAAGATAAACGACAAGATTTTAACGTACGTCGTATTTGATCATCCATAAATACTCGGTATCTCATTAAGGGATGACACACGAAACTCTCCGCTTTCTGGGCCTATCCAGATTTGTTCCTCCGAGAAACTCACGGGCATCCCCTTTTGGTCACCGAGAGAGACAGCACCCCGTTGGTTTATTTACGGAAACGCCTCTTCTTTGCCTCTCACTAAGAGGCGTCTTACTTTGATTGCACCAACTCTCCTGACAGTGTTTCAGTTTTGTTCGATTTCTCAGAGCGAAAATAATTCTGGAGCAAAGAAAGTCTTCGAGCGTAAAGAACAGAGAGCGAAGTGAATAAAAAGGGATTAATTAAAAACGGACATAGTACGTCTTGTTTTTGCATCTGAAATTTTTTACTTCGAACAGTAATATTTTAGATTTCATATTTTACATTTCATTGCTTTCGACTGAGAGTAGATTTCAAACAATTCAATTTTTGTAATTAAAACAGTAAAGAGAACAATAACGTTAGTTTCATTTCTAAATTTACCGTTGGAA